GAGTTCAATTTATTGAATATAATTGAAATTTACTTATCTTTTTATTGTCTATACTGTATATACTACAGTATGCTCCTCTTCTTCCTAAAACTTCCAATTAATTTTCGACGATTAATTGAACTTTACACGCTTTACACCACTTCGATCACCACGATCACCACTCACACGAATTTAAAAGGCAACCGACTTTTTATAACCTCGAATCTTTATGAAACGTGGTCTTTCTTTTCGCGCCAAATTCTGGTTGACACTCTATACGCATGTGTAGTGCTGTCACTAGCGCCTCCTACCATTGGTTAACTAACTAAGCATTACACCGACAGTAGCACGAATGTGGTAGTGCTCACGGACATATTTTAAAGATGTGGTTGTGATGTTTAGTTCGTGAACCATTGGTACGAGGCGCTACAAACTTTGCTTCAACTCGCCCCACTTAGGTTTGCCCCCCCAGGATTGGTGTGGATCGTGTGGATTCAATGGATTCAATGATCCGTATCCGCACCATTCGCACGTGAAGAACGCTACTGTGTTTATTTTTGCGTAAATTCAATAACATTCAATTGATTGGAAAAAATGGCTGATGATTTTGACGGAGACGAGTACGTAATTTAATAAACTGAGGACTAAGAATTGACACTTGCAGCTAATTTTGAAACTTTTTGTGATGACAATTTCTGAAACAACGTGTTCAATCATTTAAAGGGTAGCGGATGAGTTTGACGATGTCGATGATGATGATAACATTGAATTGGAACCTCAAGAAGTTGACGAGGAAAATATAGAATTGCTAGAAGCAGGTGAGGCCACAGGTGGAGTACAGAAATCGAAAAGAATCACCACGAGATACATGACAAGGTATCTAACATGAATTCTTAATTTTACTAGTTAATCTAAATATCGTTTTATAACGAATATATTCGTAGGTACGAGAGGGCAAGAGTGTTAGGGACTAGAGCATTGCAAATAGCCATGTGTGCGCCAGTAATGGTAGAATTGGAAGGAGAAACTGATCCCTTGCAAATTGCAATGAAAGAACTGAAGCAAAGGAAAATTCCAATAATTATTAGGCGTTATTTACCTGACAACAGTTACGAGGACTGGGGCATAGATGAATTAATTATAATGGATCATTAAACATTATTATTAAGTTGTATAGCATAAGTTAATTATTGAACACAACTCTCTACTCATTGTTAAATTTAAGATCTAAGTAAGATTGTAATAAACATTTTACTAAAGTACTAAGACTGTCTTTATACTTGTCCCG